TTTTTTTTTAAAAAAATAGCCGTTGGGCCCGCTAGGCCCGCTAAAGGACCGGTCCGGTCCCGGGCCCTGGCGGGCCAAACAGTCCCGGGCCTGGCGGGCCCAAATCATAGGATAGGCCCACGAGATCGGACCAGGCCCGCTAAAACCGAACCAAACAATCCTGGCCCGTTTAGCCGTTTGTCCCGCGTTCCCGGTCCGGTCCTCGGGACCGGCCCACTTGCCAGCCTTAGACGGGAGGGATAATAAATTTTGAAGAACCGGCATCTATAAAGAGTTTCTTTCTCAAACGCACCGCTTTGTTGCTAACTTCGATATATACATTAATCTCTTGCTTTTTATGAATAACCTAGTTTTCTTTTATTAAATTTTACCTTGAAATTGTTTCAAGAATTTGAGGAGCCGAAGAGAAGTGGTTTCGATTGGCTCAAGTAAATATGCGTATATCTATTTAATGTTGAGAGATGTTACACAACTTTGAAGCTTAGAATTGGTACAACGGTAACCGAACATCAAGAATAGGAATCAAATATTAGGGGTGAATCCAACTCTGATACAATATAAAGAGGTAGAGATGGGTAGAAAATTGTATTGTATGTAATTTATAGTGTATTTTTAAATAAGCAATCACAACAAAATACCATATCTACAATTTAGTCCTAATCTAGTTAAAATTAACTTCTAATCCAGCCTTTCTGCCTTCTAAAGAAAATATTTCAAGAACCTGAAAATATTGTTGGTTATCTGATAGTTAATAGGTTATAATGGCTAATTTCCCCCTTTTAAAAAAAATTAATCAATATCGAGACATTTCAAATAAAGATTCAAGTAAAATAAGATACAATATTTTCACCAAATAAAGGTTAAATATAAATCTGATTGAACTAGATAAAAGGAGAGATTCTAAAGTAGCTAATACGTGAATTTGGCTTTGCATCAAAAACCTTCTGTAAGGGCAAAAACTCTGCCTGCTAAAGGCGGAGGTATTGCAGACATAGCCTCCTGAATAACCTGATAAGGGAAGTACAGAAAAATTGTTAGAATGAGACATACACAAGAAATGAAACAAGTTAGTCCTAGAAGGTATTGCATATAGTAAAATTGGGTGGGCCCGGTTTTAACCGTATACATTATATACCGCGATTTTATCTCAACTAAACATGGAATAAACTCATCTCAGATTTAATCTCGGAATTAATTATCCCTTATCCTCGTACCAAACGATCCCTAAGTGGTCTAGTAATTGGTTTTTAAGAGAATGAAAAGACCAAAGGGTGTAAAATTGCAACCAGCATAGTAAAGACAGACATAAGAAATTAAACACAGTTGAAAAATCCATTTCTATCCTAGATACAAGCTTTTCCATAAACAAAAATAAAAGAAAAGAGAGTAAAAATTTGACAGTCTATCCCGCCAATGAACCAGGAAATATTGTTGGATTTCTTAGGAAAGCTCAAATAGACTATTTCCTAGAAGCTTTGCAATCTATGTCCATGATACTTGGTTTACAAGTGGCGAGGGGCTATTGTGCATGTCATGTTAGAGAGAGAGAGAGAGAGCGCTTACATCCAACTGATAGCGGGCTGAAAAGTGGATTAAAAGGATTGCTTTGTTCTGAAACCTGTCGGCGAAATTGATGATCTGGTAGGATGTCACCAAAGCATAAAGAATTACATCAGACTCCTCAATAATTCTACAACACATTCAGGATTTTATTATTCAATTCTTCTAGTAAAATCTTGAGGTCAATTAAAAGGGAATCTCAGGAAATGATGCAAAAAGAACCACCTCAGACAGATGAGTATGTCCATATTCTCTTGCGTTATCAGCTGTTGTTTTGTCCTCTACATAAGTGCTCTGTAGAAGAATTGCAAAGAAGAGCGTAAATACTCCAGAACCACTAATGTTGATAAGGCAAAATGGAAAAAGGATCTCACCGCGAATATATTGTACCGGCTATGATGCTATAACTTGCATAAGCGTGAGCACAAGTAATGATATTACTCCCATCGAAAGTTAATAGTAAAAGATGACTAAGTTAACTAGTTAATCCGATTGTGTCATAATCATAAGGATAAGTGCCATAAACTAGCAAGCAACTTTGTAACGACTCCAACTATGTTCTTCAAAAGTTGGATTATACAAAGAATGCTTAGGAGACCTACTAATTAAATCAGCAAAGTGTCCAAAGCTGAAGATGATGAGATATGCAATTACAGAATGTAAAAAATCAAATATATTAGGAAAAAAAGAAGTAAAAGAACCACATAAACCTCATTATGAAAATAGTTCTTTCCAAGGAGAGAAAAATAACTACAAGGAGTCAAAGAAATTGAGCATCATGTTACAAACAAGATACATTATTTGACAAGTGTTACGAACAGGGAATTTACCTCCATTATGAGGATTTTTGCCCTCAAAACATCAACATTTTCAGAATCCTTAATGAAGTCTGACATTGTATCTCCTGTAAATGCAATTTCAGGTGCTGTTGTAGTGTATGTGATCTGTCAAAAATCAAAAGTTAATCACATATATTTGGGAAATTTCTTGCAGACGTATTATTGTGCAACGTTATGTATTAAACAGGCAGCGTCACTGCACCTTTGTCTGAAAAGAATTGCCCAATATAAAAGCACATAAACTGTTCAAGCTAGTATATAGTGGGTGTTGGGACATAAGAATTGTAAAATTCCGGAAAAAAATGAAATTTTGGACATGAATATAATTTTGGGTTGTCGTTGAATTTTAGTGAGTGATCTGAGTGGAAATTTTGAAAAATAGTTTTTTGGAATTTTTCAAATTTTCGAAAAATTCAAAAATTCATCTTCAAGTGAAAATTAAAAATTTTCATGGCCAAACTGGCTCATAATAAAGGTACTAAATCCGTAAATCCACCCAAAAGGTTTTTATAGAAACATTGCCATCCCAATGCATAAAGATTCGTATCCTTAGTACAAAAAAGAACGAATAAAATTTCTGTTCGAATATTGATATCATGCCAGACCTCCACACCTGATAACTTTAACTTCTTAATTTCATCTCCTGGAAGGCCCACATATTCTTGCTTAAGCTTCTGCTTCACTGAATATACCATATAACCCTGCATTATACCATAAAAACAAGCTGATTAAAACCTCACTAGCAGCTGCTTACTCACACAGAAAGCACAAAGCACATTGATGCTTCAAAAATCCACTTTATACTGGTAAAAAAAAAGAAGCGTGGGTAGGGAAAATGAGCAGTCGAAGCTCAGAGCACTAAGGAAAGTACTCAACCTGGCTAGGAATGACATGGTAAGTCTTGAATGCTCTAACTTTAAGATCCTTTCTAATGTAGAATTCTTCTCCTGCATTTGAACAAAGATGTATTCACTTAAATTGTGAAATAAGCACTAACTCCAACTTTATAAAAACTAATAGGCTGAGCTATATGATCAATACAGGTAGATTTTTACCCACATCCAAACCAATCAAAGTATGGTTCAGTTCAGAGTGATCCATAGCTCGGTGAGCTTCAAAAAGCTTCTCAACACTTTCTTTGATAACTTTTGGTACAATAATAGTAGGAGGTTTCATTCTGTAAAGGCCACGAGTCGCAACATACATAGGTAGTCCTCCAATGTGGTCCATGTGGCCATGAGAGATGAAAAGGAATTGCTGGGAGATGGCACGCTGAGGGCACTTGCCAATATCAAAGGCTAAGTTAAGCGTGGGAACTATTATGCACGTCTCATGACCTGCTATTGATATACCTTCTAGTGAGTATCCTTCAATCTGCAAACCCCTTTCTCTCTTGTGGCTACTGTTGCTCCTCGAATTTGAATTGATCGATTCTGAATCTTTCTTTGTTTTACTCTCCATTTCGCAGAACACTGATGGACTCAGCTCCGGAAGAAATTAGAAACCGAGGACTGGATAAGGAGAAGAGGCCACAAAAGAAGAGTTTAGAAGGACATAATACACTTTCAACAATTACTATACTAGATAGATGGAAAAAGATCAACTTTGCAGAATATGGGAGATATTAACTATCAAGTGATCTTAACTCAAAGGTAGATTAACTTCGATTTAAGAGGCACTTGAGATCAAATATTAAGAAGGCTAGAAATTAAATGACTTTAAATTTAACACTTTCACCCCTCCCAAACTGCTGAAATTTTTCACTGATAAATATTTCATCTTGTATGGTCTTGGTCTCTTTAATTCTGTTTAAGGGAAATATCACCCAGGATTTATATAAGAATGCAAATAAACTGATAGAAATCATATAGTAGAAGAACCAAAGATCTATGTTGAGGCCTTTACAAGGCGGATCCTTATTTTCAAAAAGGGGATTCAATATGTGAATAAGTAAACAGTGAAAAAGGGGTTCAGCGGAAAATTTTAAATTAAACTAACAGTTTTTTAATAAATTAATTATACAGACATCAAATAAACACAAAATTACACAAAATTTTGTATGATCAAACTAACACTTTCAGCCAACTAAACTAATTCTGAAGTACCAAGCATAAAAAATTTATCCAACACCAGTTATTCACCACTACTCATTAACTTATGATCAAGCCTACTCTAGTGAGGGAAAAAGAGAACCTCCAGACACAAGAAAGTACGAATCTTTCACAGCATAAAGTAGATTAAACGAAAAGAAAGCAGATTCCCTTTTTTTACTTATAAAATAAGAGAGAAAGGTAAAATTATCTTATCTTGCAAATATCATAATACCAATTAGTTGATAGCGATAATGTTGCCGCACCGGTGGTCAGCGGCAAAAGCGAAGAACATGTGGCAGCTTGGTATTGTTTGTGAAATTCTCATAAATTGCATTGTCAAAAACCTGTTTGGGATTAATCATCCAAATTTTCTCACATAACTGGAATGACACCACTTCATATGGAGTTATTGGACTCCTTCAACCGCTAATATTCTTTTCATAGGTCCCTCTCAAGAATCTTACTTTTTTCTTTAATTGAATCAATATTACTCGAAGAACAAGAGGAGGTTTTAGGCCTTCTTGGCCTTTTATAATGTTGAATTTAAGAAAATGTCTTTTTTAGATCTCTTATGTGTAAATGAAAGATCTCTTATGTGTAAAAGTAAATCTCCCATGCGTAAAAAAAAAAGATATATGGTCATAAAACTAAAAATAAGTTTGTAAAAGGCCAAAAAACCAATTGACCCGAACAAGAGAGTGTATGATATAATTATAAAATGCAATCATATACTTTTTTATATCAAGCCATTTTATTTTCAGAAACTTAATAATACCGTACATTTAAGTATGAAAATTTCATCTTGGTCATTTCATACTTTTGAAAATGGTGAAAATTTAGCACCCTTAAAATATTTATTTCTTTTAACCTTTTTGGGGGAGGTTACACCCGTTCAATTAGGACTCTTCATCATGGGATGGTGTTTGGCAATAAAGCAGTCATGTACCCTTTTCTTCTAATGTAAAACTTCATTTTCCCCTTCCTCTGTACTGGATGTTGTTTCACTTTTTTCTATTTTTGACCTTTTCTGGTTGGGTGTTTTTCGCTTTTATCAGTTTTAACAAACTTCACAAACTCAACAAACAATAAAAAGGACAAGTCTAACAAACAAATGAAAATTTTAAGGGTGCTAAATTTCCACCTCTTTCAAAAGTATGGAACGATCAAGACGAAATTTCAATACTTGAAGGTATTATCAAGTCTAAGCAAGAAAAAGGAATTGATGTAAAAACTAATATGTGTGCATTTCATACATATATTATAGACTCTCTTTTTCTTCGAGCAATATTGACTCAGTTAAGGGAAAAAGTAAGATGCTTGAGAGAGATCTATAAAAAAAATATTAGCGGAGTAGTCCAATAACTCCACATGAAAGGTTAATAACATGTTTATGGGCAATGCAATTAACAAAAAATCACATAACTAAATATCTGTGTTGAGGCTTTTCAGAGAGAATCCAGGATTTTCACCAAAGGAATTCAATATTTGAAGTACGCAGAGAAATCACCAATTTTGCTTCCCAAGTCATTTTTAACACATTCATTGACAAATAGCTTTTTCCAATTTCGCAATAGCGACATGTGATATGAAACTTAACTTCACAAACTAATAAACAAGTCCCCGAGTCTTATAAAAATTCGTTTCAAGCTTCAAGCAATGTCTTAGAAAGATTTCCATGTCATATCAACTTAAAGAAACCCTTGTCAACCTCTCACTTTGTCTTGAATCAATTACAAATCAAAGTCATTAGCACTTTCTACTTTATCTTGAATCAATTTTTAAAAAAAATCACTTAATAGAAGGAGGCATCAAATATGATATCTATATATACTATAGTTTTTTCCTAATATTGTTTTCCATATTGCCAGCAAGAGGGAAAAATAAGATTGAATATGTAGATAAGCCACGAAAAAGAAAAATGATAAAGATTTGATTGGTAGCTTCTAATATTTCATGTACATATAATAATTGACTATGGTTTTTCTATGAAAATAATACCCAGAGAAATTAGATTTTATGGGAAGGAAATGCAGACAAACGGAAGTTTGGAAGAATATATGCAAGCTTAGGTTTGAATTTCAGCAATATATCAAACTAAATGCTACTAGTGGCTGCAGGATTCTGGACAGATTTTTTCTTGGGAGACGTAAAATTAAAGGACAAATCTCCTGTGTTTGTATAGCTTAGCTGTAAACAAAATATTGTACAAATTGTTATACTGGCTCAAGGTGGCATTAAAATTTAAGAAGAAACTTTAATGACAGGGAAATGGAGGAGGTTAGTCAATTCTTATATCTTTTGGAATCTATAACCCTCAATGTTAATATGTTGGATTCCCAAATCTGGACAGCCACTCAGCATTAATGATTCTCAGTTAAAAGCTGTTATACCCTACTACTGAAACAAATGATCAGTGGGATGTCCTGGCCTTGGAAAATGTTGTGGAGAACAAAAAGCACCTTCTAAGATTGCTAGTTTTGGATGGATTGTAGCAACGAATGCATGTTTAAATCACAATATTTTACAAAAAAAAAATAAAAATATTAGGCTTCTGAGTTCATACCAGAAGAGAGCATCTCCCTTGCAGTAGGTGTTGGGGTTTTGTGAAGAAGCTCAGGAAACTATTAGCCATGCAAAACAAGACGGATTTGGAACTTTTTCTCAAATCTGCAATGTGCACTGGGTGATGCCTCACAGTGTGAAAGATTTACTGGAGAGCTGGCAGAGTCAGAGGGTTGACAAAAGAGGGAAACAACTCCATAAAACAATTCCCTTCCGCATCATAGGAGATGCTTTAAAGGATAAAAACAACACAATGTCTTTTGTTAAAAATAGATGCCTTCAAAGTCTATATTTCTGGTGTAGGAACAACATGATAGAAAATTTGTCTCGATATGTTGATTTTTTTGGAGTTTCTGGGGATGAATCAGTGATAGTAATATTGCAACTCTTTCTCTTTGTATTTTGTAGTACCTTCTTGCAACAACAACCACCGAGTATAATCCACTAGTGGGGTCTGGGGAAGGTAATGTGTACGCAGACCTTACCCCTACCCTGGGGTAGAGAGCTTATTTCCGATAGACCCTCGGCTCCCTCCCTCCAAAAACTCCCCACCTTGCTCTTGAGGTGACTCGAACTCACAACCTCTTGGTTGGAAGTGGAGGATGCTCAGAGCCCCTCTTGTCTTGTAGTACCTTCTTGGTACTTCAATAATGAAACTTTCTTCACTTGTAAAAAAATTGACTCTGGTTTTTCTATTCAAAATGGCTCAACATTGGAAGATATTGTCTTACATCACCATATCCTCAGTACGCATTTGCAAGAAAGCCAGGCCAAACATCCCAAAACATATGGAAACTCAATTGTGCACTTTCTAAAATGCAACCCTACCCCACCTATGTTCCCGTCAGAGAGTATTTCAATATTAGATTGTATGTCAGATAGATACTCAAAGATTGTAGGTAGAACGCGTGATCTCAGTGATGCATTGTTGACTTATGTGTCTAGCTTGTGTATATATTCTCGATGTAATCCAGTGGCGGACCCAAGTGGTGGCTAGCGGGTTCAACTGAACCCGCTTCACAAGAAAATAATATTGTGTATATGTATAAATTATGATTAAAGCTGTGTAAATTTTGCATAAATATTTTATTTGAACCCACTTGACAACTACTATTTTACGACTAAATTTATATACTTCTAAGATTGAACCCGCTTGCACAAAATCTTGGGTCCGCCACTAATGTAATCTATCGTATAAGTATGAAGTGAAATATACTATTATACTTACATAATTCACACGACCATTGATTGTTATTTGACATAAAGGTACAATTTATGACAAAAAGTAAATTAAGTTCCCTTTGACCAAGAACATCTGGTAAATAATTCGTTGCAATTTTTTTTTTCCGGATTCAACAAGGAACAAAATGACTTGGCAGCTCTCTATGTAACAGACAATTAGGATTATATTGAGGGTAATGAAGAAATCTCCCAGAGCAGCATACTATATGCACAAAGGGATAAAGGACAAAAGCCAAAGTACCAAGAATAAAAAAAATTAATGATAGTGGTGTCATGCACATCTCGACTATGTGCACAACTTGACTACGGGTACCTACTACATTCTAACATGTACCAAGTTTGTCTGCCATTAAGGTTTGATCAAAGGAAATCAGCTAGCATTTTTTGCTTCCGAATTTGATACTATTTCATAGTTCTCCTCCCATTTCATTAATCAATAAGTCATACTCTCGAGTGCCGAATAAAGATATCCATTAGGGGTGACAATTTTAGTCCAAACCCATCCAACCCGTTCAGAGATTAATGGGTTGGGCTATAACATTTTAGCTCATGAGTCTATTTGGGTTGAACCTAAGTTAACCCATTATTTTTTATAGCCCATTCTGACCCATGAAGTAGCCCAATTACAACCCATAAAGCTCACCCAAAAACAAAAGGATTTCAACCCTCTCCCCTTTTGGATCTGGTTAAGCGCAACCACTGGTAAACACTTAACTTCTTATCAACAAGGTATGGTGAGGGGACCTGATTAGGCTCTTGACCCCTCGATTCCCGAGAAACTCGGTGATCTCGAAGTTTTTCGAAGCCTGGTCAGAGTACGACTGGTTAGGGGGGCATGGGTTTTGTCCGAATGGATGAAGTCCATTCTCTCTTACTGGTCTTGGTATTACACTATCGCGGAGGAAAAAAATACTCCCATTAAGGCGCTACTTAGCCCGTAGGTTGTGCCACTGGTGACTAAGCATACAAAGAAATTATATCATTTTAATAATAACTAATAACGNAACCACCGCAAAAAAAAAAGACTATATTTTAATTTTCTATTTTTTCGTTTTTCTGCACCACCCACCCCACCCGTATAATATTTTTTAACTTACACATTTTAAATATTAATTTGTTATTTAAGAAATATATTTTGATTCTCAAAATACTAATAGTATTTATTTACCTTTATACATAAGTGTATAAAAGGTAAAAGGCTTTGTGTATGCATGATGAGCATTGTTCTAAAATATAGGTCAAGTTATGACACATTGTTAGCACATATTGACCCAGTCCATCTTAACCCCAAGTACACTTTGGGCTGAACAACCAGGAGACAAGAGAGTTTGAATGTTTCAAAGCATAAAAGTAGACTAACGAAAATAAAGCACATTCCCTTTGTTTTTCCACAAAAATAAGAGAGAAAGTAAAAAATTATCTCATCTTGCAAATACAGTACCCATGAGTTGCAGCAGCGGCGGTCAGCGGCAAGATGGGAAGAACCAGTGGCAGCAATCGTTTGTTTGGATATTTATTTTGGGCGGAAATATAAGAACGAGGCTTAAAACCCTAAAAAAAAATAACGAATCGACTGCCGTAATGGGTTCAGTGTAGAACAATAGTATGGAAAAGAATGGTAGTACCAATTTATATGAGTGAACTATTAAATTCTGCGAGAAAGAAAACTCTTTATATAGACTCGATAATTGATAATTTTCCTTTCTTGGTCAAAAATCGTAAGGTTAGTTATATAGACTAACTTTTTTTTTTACTTGTACACGTACTAATATTGTAAGTAAATCAAATGCGTGGAAAGAAGTAAAGAAAGAACGGAGAATGTCCAAAAATACTTTCGGAAATAGTTTAATTATACCCTCCGTTTGCTTTTGGTACCAAAAATATTTTTGTCGTCACTTTTTGGGACCATAAATAACTCAGAACTAACAGATGACCACATGTATATTATACGTGTAATAAAATATCTGATAACTCACTAACCCATATAATTTACCCATTAACTTAAATGGTATCCCGCGACCCGATCGTCTAATTAAAGGGGCAAAATGATTTTGCCCCTCGTTTCTCACTGCCCTTCTAAAGGTGTCTTAGAGAGGTGATTTCAGAGGAATAACAAAACAAATTGAAGATTATTTACCCCAGATCTTCCATACTCACCCCCTAGGCTAAGTTGGAAAGGTAAAGAAGCGATCACTAGCAATCAGTCGGAAGTGGCAAGGCAGAAGAAGGTGGGGAAGTTAAGGTCTAAGAAAGCCAATGGAAACTCTCAAATCTAAGACTAGTAGTTGTTGGTTAGTTGTAGGACTTTAACTTTGGTGTCAAAAATTAATTTCCGAATTGATTTTGCTGCTCTTTTTGTCGAGTTTTGTTGCTCTTTTGGTCCTGTTTTGGTCTAGTTTTACTGCAGTATTTTTGGATTGGTTTTGCTATTTTTTTGCTCTATTTTTTGGTCAGTTTTGCTGCTAAAATTAATCTAATCTTGATGTTGTTTTGCTGCCTATTATAGTCCTATTTTGCTGCTGAAATTAGTCTAGTCTTGATGCAATTTTTTATCCTTTTTTAGTCCAGTTTTGTTGTTAAAATTAGTCTACTCTTGATGCAGTTTTGCTGGAATTTTTGGTTCAATTTTGTTGTTGTCTTGGCACTTAATTAGTCCAGTTTTGCTGCAGATTTTGGGCTAATTTTGCTGCTATTTTGGTCATTTCTTGGCAAGTTCTGCTATATTATTTTGATATAATTTTACTGCTAGTTTCGTCCACTTTTTGCTCCATTATTACTATTGTCTTTTAGTCTATTTTTGCGGCTATTTTCGGTAAAACATACAAAATATAAGATTAATCAATAAAAAATAATTATTTTTTGACTAAATAATTGAGTACTAATAATTAAGAAGGCCTTCAAAGAAACTCAGCAAATCTGAACCTAAACGTAGCAAAAGAAAGTGAATTCATTAAACCCACCAAACAAGAAAATAAATTTAAGATTTACTTTTGATAAAACCTCCACCTTGCATTAGCATCTGTCCAAGCAGTCAAATATAAAGTAATTAGTGTGCAACGACATTTCTACGTACTGGATTTCATGCGAATTTATAGAAAAATCTAACATGGAGTCGAAAAATTCATTAGAAAGAGATTTGTTAGGAAATTCTTGAAAATGTGAAAATAGGGTTCTAATGAGAGAGACATCTATATAAAGAAGGGTGTTTTGCCATGTTGGACTGCCATATCAACTTATTTATATTATTAAACAGGTTCCAAAGGCTCATGTGGTCCGGCAAGGATATTTTTGGTACCAAAAGCAATCGAAGGATATAATTGAGCTATTTCTAATAGTTCGAGGGCATTTTTGTACTTTTAATGAAGAAAGAACCATATTGAATGGATAAAATATTTTTAACTTTAATGAGGTACTGGAAAGGAAACAAAACAAACGCGTAGAATAAAATATAATTGAACTACTCCTATATTCTTTTTCCCCTTTATGGACTAGCGTTACTCCTAATTATATTGCAAAAATTTAACGACTTAAAAATCATGAAACGTGGATTACGTACATCAAGATAAATACTGGAGTCGTATTTAGATAATAAGGGAAAATATGATCAGCGAAATTTTATCAATTCATTTTCAAGTATCCAAGTAGATCAATATTTCGAACCATATAAACTCTAAAGTTTTATAAATATAGGAAAACTTGTATAAAGATATTCACTTTAGTAACTAAGTGAATATAATATGCTATACTTGTTTGGTGAAAACTATTTCAAATGGAAAAAATAATTGGTTGGATGACCTATCAACTCCTAACAATTTGTAATGTGGTTGACTTTAGTTCTGAGTTAAATGATCTTGCTGTTGAAGTTTGTAGCAATTATTAGTTTTATTACTTGAATTACTAGTTCTGATTATGCTCTTTCCTTGGCAGTTGGCACTGTGGTGTTTGTTAAACAAAACTAGAGAATGAGCATTAACCTGTCGAGGCATTCATGTATGAAAGTTACAGTTTAAATCTGATAGCTAAAGGTGGCTTGGCAATAGCCAAACTCTCTTTATAATTTGATATTCTCTCTTACGGATTCCTTCAACATTCGAGTTTGAAATCACAAATTTTCTTTTTCAGCTACACTATTATTTATCTTCTGAATACACCAATTTCTTTTAAGTTCTTTCTACATGCTTGTTTCCTGGCAAGGACAATAGACATGAAGTATACTTTTAGTATTGTTACAAGGACAAAAGAATAAAGTAAGCATCACTTGCTCAAACTTCAGAAGAGTATCTTGATGTTATTGCCTGAGACTTGGGGAAGAGACTAAGAAAATGTTTCAGCCAAAGAATGGGATAATAACCTGATTTACTCTAAAATATGGAGAAAATGATTGCGATGCTGGACCACCTTCATATCATATGTACTTCACTAACCCTTTCAAGCTCTGTCATGTATGAACAATATGTCATCAGAAAACTTCTTTGATAAGCTAAAAAAAGTAACTTCATCAAACCAATATCATAACTTAGATTATGCAAAATAAGAAAAGGAGTAGCTTTAGAGTTGTATTAGTTGTCTAGCTCAAGTTTCTGCACAGAACCAGAAAGATGAGCTTAAGATTGGTAGGTTTGCATATAGTACCTTTATGCAATTAGGTAAATCGTCGTCTTTTATTCTAGCATGACTCTGCAAATGAAGAGATTAAGAAATATGTGAATTAGAGTTCAAATGCATTTCCATCATGACACTGACTTGGGGAAAATCTGGCACTCGCAAAGCACAATATTAGATAAACTAGTACTTACATATATACTTGGAGATGTTTTTTTTTTTGAAGTCGTAATTGCTAGTAGAAAAGATAGTCACAGACACATTTCACTTGGATTAATAATCATGTCTTACAGAAATTACCTCTGTGAACTTGTCAACTGGAGTAAATAACTATTTTGCAAATGAGACCTAAGGAGATAAACATCTTTTAACAATGATATAGAACATTAAAGACCAAGACTTTTAACTTGTGCATCAATTTGAGCTTTCCCTTCAAAAAATTGAGCAATCTTTCCAAGTGACTTAAGCATCAGAGAAAATGAATGCAAGGTAATTTGCAATGTTGAGCTTCCACACATTTTATAATTGATATCAAACTCTGTATGAACTTTCTTTAGCCATTTCATTCTGATACTCTAGTGGCACTCAAGTGAACAAAGCCCAGAAATAAATGTCAGAGCGAGAAACATCACCTATTGTAAGGCTAGTTTTCTTCAATCCTGACTGCCAGAGTAAGGCAGGCTACACCAGCAATTTGAAGGCATTGTTTGGTTTTGAAGTACCCTTTGCTTAGAAATCGGTCAAAGAGGTTGACGTTTAAAAACATCGTCTCCTTCTGAAGCTTCTTCCTCGTAGCTTGCTGTAAAAAAAGTATTGTCCGACATTAGACAGCAATGGAACTGCCAAACACTAGTGGTATTAGTATGTATTTACACATTTCCGCAGCATGGGCTGTTAAAACAAGTGTTATTTCATTGTACTCTGAGGCTCTCAATCATGGTTAATTTCATCCATCAGAACGAAAAAATGTATATTTTGCACTGCAATTCTTTGCAGATAAAAAATGGGAATCTTGGGATGCCAAGGAATGGTCTCGCACATTTCACCATATAAAGAACTGTAAAATTTCTAATCATATTTAAGTAACAGCAATTTAGTGGTATTGAACTACTCCCAAAACGAAGCACCAGGTGTATGGGTAAAATATGTTATATTAAATGATCGCATGAGAAAGTGACACGTGTAGTCAAAAATAGAGGATGACTGAAACTGAAGGCAACCATTTTGTCTGTTACCGAAGATAATGAT